CTCCATCTCTTCCTCTTCCCCTCTCCCTCTTCCTCCAGAGAGTGAGCAGCAGAGGGAGAGAGTGGAAGAGGGAGAAGGGGAGGCAAAGGCAGAGAAAGAGCGAGAGGAAGAGGGAAACAGAGGGGAAGAGAGGAGGAGAATAAGAGTTACGAGAGAGAGAGAGAGAGAGAGAGAGAGAGAGAGAGAGAGAGAGAGAGAGAGAGAGAGAGAGAGAGAGAGAGAGAGAGAGAGAGAGAGAGAGGAGGAGGAGGAGATCAGGAGGGAGGAGGAAGAGGAGGAGTAATGACGAGTTAGGAGGAGGAGGATCATGATGATGAGGAGGAGGAGCATGATATTTTACATGGTGGCTTGACGACATCTTGAAAGCTCCTCCTCCTTTTCTCCTGCCAAGTCCTCCCTGCTCCGTAGCCGCAGCTGCAACGGAGAGAGCGAACGCGTCACGACACCGGTGAAAGAAGGAAGAAGGAGTTCTGATCATGTCGGAGAGTTGGTAGGAGACATTGAGGTGCTGACGTTGGTAGAGGTGGAGGAGAGGGAGGAAGAGGAGGAGGAGGAGGAAGCAAAGATGATGATGGTTGTTGTTGTTGTGGTGGTGGTGATGATGATGATGATGAGCATGATGTTGATGACGAGGATGATGATGATGATGATGATGATGATGATGATGACGACGAGGAGGAATTAGTTTCTCACTCGCGCACTAATTGGTTGACCCGATCCAGTGATGCTTGATCCTCCTCTAAACCCATGGCCAGCTCCTGCCAACATCCTCATGAGCCTCTCCTCTTGCTCCTGCTCCTGCTCCTGCTCCTGCTCCTGCTCCTGCTCCTGCTCCTGCTCCTCCACTTATCCCTGCTGTTCCTGTCTCTCCTCTTCCTGCGCTCTTCCTTTGTCCCTCCTCCTCCTCCTCCTCCTCCTCCTGTCTCTCCTCATACTCCTGCTCTGGCTCACCTTCATCTTCTCGTCCTCCAAGGAAGGAGCACTAGAGAGCACTTCGTCCAAGACGGTGACCATCAAGTCCGCTTGCTCTCTTCCTCAAGGGAGGGAAGTGAGGAGTAGGATGGCGAGGGGAAGAGACGAAATGATGAAGATGAACGTCAAGGGGGTTGTTGAGGAAGACACTGTGGAGCAGGGGGAGCAGGGGCAGGCGCAGGCGCAGGCGCAGGAGCAGGAGAAGGAGCAGGGGCAAGGGCAGGAGAAGGAGGAGGAGAAGGAGACAGGGAAACCTTGATAAGCAGAGAGGAGGTTTGATCTTGAGCACGTTGTTGTGAATGCCGTCGGAGCCGAGGAGAAGACCTCTACATCTGCTCGCTTCCACTACATATGTTGTCTGCTCGCTACATGTCAGCTCGCTGTCCTGTTTCTTCCTTTTTCCACGTCCTCCTGCTGATCCAACTCCTTCCTCCTCCTTCTCCTGATCCAACTCCTTCCTCCTCCTCCTCCTGATCCTCCTCCTCCTCCTCCTCCTGATCCAACTCCTCCTCCTCCTCCTGATCCAACTCCTTCCTCCTCCTTCTCCTGATCCAACTCCTCCTCCTCCTGATCCAACTCCTTCCTCCTCCTTCTCCTGACTCCAACTCCTACTTCCTCCTCCTCCCTCCTCCACCTCCTTCATCT